TGAGAAGTTATTAAGTAGTGAAGGGATTCATTGAAGAAGGTGAGTGATGGAGAATTTAATAACCCCAGGGTTTTCAGCCGTTGCCAAATCATTCAAGGAGTTTGGAAGTACATAAGTTGTGATCTTTAAATGATTGATGATTCATGAATTAAGGGATTTCGATAGTAATGTGAACAAAGTATTAAAGATACATGAAAGTTATGCAAGTGAAGTTTAAACCTCTCACGGACTATAAAAACTAAGGAATTCATTAACAATGACAATCAACAATAGAAATGACAATAGATCAGGATAGATCCAATCCGGACCCGATCCATTTATTTGAGATCGGGTACAATTAGTCGAATATCGGGTTCGGATCCGGGTCGGGTATTGTGTACCTTTATCAGGTCCGGATTGGGTCTCGGGTTCAAGGATGGACCCTACATGGACCCGGACCCAATTAATATATTACTAATTGTTGATGCAATTTTTCAACAATAAAAAAGTAAAATCCGAAAATAAGAAATTATCTTCGAATTTGATATATTTAGTGCCTGAGATTAGGAATCTCTAAACACTGTAGGATATATAAATAAAATAGGAAAATAAAACTACAGACTGAAAAATAAAGTGGTGATCCCCAAAGGCAATTCTCTTGAATTTGATGTCGATTGAAGATCCTCTACCAGTTGCTGACCCCAATCCTTATATATTCCTCAGAAGAGATGTTTCGGAACCGTCGCTAGCAACCGCCGTCAACCGCCCACAACGAAACGTTTTTAAACGTCGTCTGGCCAGTTACGGCAATCGTCTCACCAACCGCATAACCTAACCAACCAATCCAGAGACTAACTGGTCGCTAGACCAAACGACTCCTTGGTCGCCCAATCAAGCGACCACCCTCTGGTCTTTCCAGACGATTCAATGGTTGCCCCAACCAAGCGACTGAACTACTGTTCACTTAATTAGGCGACTAATTAACAGACCTTCTTCGCTTGGTCCAAACTCCGTATTGGCCGATTCAACCGATAGCGGACCAACCGACTGTGAACCAACCGACTACAAACCATCCCATCCGACTGCAGACCATCCGACCTGTCTATTTGACCACGGACTTTCCGACCTACCTATCCGACCGCGGACCTTCCGACCTGCCTATCCGACCACGGACTTTCTGACCTGCCTATCCGATCGAGGACCAACCGACCGGCATGTCCGACCGCGGACCTTTCGACCTGCCTGTCCGACCGCGGACCTTCTGATCTGCTTATCCGACTGCGGACCAACCGACCTGATCAACCAACCGCGGACCAACCGACCTGAGTGCATATTTTCTTCTTTTCCATCCAACTTCGTATCCTAACTTCCTTTAAGATCCTGCTATCATTATTATTATTATTATTATTATTATTATTATTATTATTATTATTATTATTATTATTATTATTATTATTATTATTATTATTATTTGTGCGTAACACTTGCCTTATCCGCAAGACTCCTAAGCGTCATTTCTCATAATGTTTAGAAGTTAACAGGCTATCAACCGAGGCCACATCAGCCTCAGATCCGACCTCCATCTTTCGAGGCTACGTTGAACCCGACCTCCATTTATCGCGGACTGGTGCTGGCCTGCGCGTTGGTCGATCTTGCACTACCATTTCTTCAGCACCTCCCCCTGACAGAAGTCGTGATCGTTTTCTCTGAAAAAAGATTCTAATCTCCCTGCCTTGGATGCTAAACTGGTCAGATCTTAAACGTCTTGGGCCGTTAAAGCCTCCCGCAGTTGTGTATGCATATTTCGGACCACCAAATTGGTCATCTCGCTCTCCTCAATGATTGTCGGGCAACGCCCCTTTATTAATCGTATCCGCTCTATGAATTGATAGGCGGTCTCCTCCGGCATTTGCCTGATCTCCAGAAGGTCTGTGAGTGAGACTGTTGGAAGAGGATTAAAGAACCTTGCATGAAAGGCTGCTTCCAAACCTTCCCAGGTTTGTATTTGTCCAGGTGGTAGATCGACAAACTCTCATAATTGTGCTATGAACCGACCCACATGCTCTATGGTGGAGGATCCGTCTTCTCCTGAGAAAACATGAAAGTCTGGCGGTTGATAATTCCTTGGGAGATGATACTCATTGATGATTCTCTCTGGAAATGGCCTTTGATACGCCGGTCGATTCACCGTTTGCGGGTTCATTCCGAAATGCACCCGCAAAACTTGAGCGATCTCCTCCAGATCTACCCTGGGTGGAACAGAATCTTCCCTAGAGAAGGCTGGCTCGGCTGGGATGGGATTACGAATCTGATCTCCCAATCTTTCTTCTCTAGGGACGTTTGGCTCGGCTGGGATGGGATTATGAGCTTGTGCCCCCAACCTCTCATTCAGCTGGGTATTATCAACCCTCGGTCCCAAAGGAACATTATCTGGGAAAGTTAGAGGGGCCTTCCCTATATCTGTTCGGTTGAAAGTTGTGATGCTTGGAAATGTACTATCAACATATGATGGCCCTGCAAACGTTGATTCTGGAAAAGTTGCCTGAAAGCGAGAAGGTGACAAGGCTGTAGGCATGTTTGAATGTAGTGTGAATTTAGAGAACGCCTGATCCAACATGTTCTGCATTGAATTTTGTTGCTCACGCAACATGAGGTTTTGCTGCTCACGCAACATGTTTTGCATGACCAAAATTTGCTGATTGTTCAATTGTTGAACATAAGACACCAAATCGGTAGGTACTTGTGGTGCTTCCCCTGCATTCGGCATAGCAGGTGGTGAAATTGTTTCTCCCACCGGTGTTGAAGATGCTTGAGGTTGTGAGCCTGTCATATTGATCTTTCTGATGATTCGGCCGGACCTCAGTCGTATGAAATTCTCTGTTGATGTAGGATCAACAATCTTGCCTTTCTCCCACTGTGGTCGCCAATTTGTTGATGCAATTTTTCAACAATAAAAAAGTAAATTATGAAAATAAGAAATTATCTCCGAATTTGATATACTTCGTGTTTGATATTAGGAATCTCTAAACACTGTAGGATATATAAATAAAATAGGAAAATAAAACTACAGACTGAAAAATAAAGTGGTGATCCCCAAATGCAATTTTCTTGAATTTGATGTCGATTAAAGATCCTCTGCCAGTTGCTGACCCTAATCCTTAAATATTCCTCAGAAGAGATGTTTCGGAACCGTCGCCAGCAACCGCCGTCAACCGCCCACAACGAAACATTTTGAAACGTCGTCTGGTCGATTACGGCAACCGTCTCGCTAACCGCATAACCCAACGACCAATCCAGAGACTAACTGGTCGCTAGACCAAACGACTCCTTGGTCGCCCAATCAAGCGACCACCCTCTGGTCTTTCCAGACGATTCAATGGTCGCCCAAACCAAGCGACTGAACTACTGTTCACTTAATTAGACGACTAATTAACAGACCTTCTTCGCTTGGTCCAAACTCCGTATTGGCCGATTCAACCGATGGCGGACCAACCGACTGCAAACCATCCCATCTGACTGCAGACCATCCGACCTGTCTATTTGACCACGGACTTTCCGACCTGCCTATCCGACCGCAGACCTTTCGACCTGCCTATCCGACCACGGACTTTCTGACCTGCCTATCCGACCGAGGACCAACCGACCTGCCTGTCCGACCGCAGACCTTTCGACCTGCCTGTCCGACTGCGGACCTTCCGACCTGCTTATCCGACTTCGGACCAACCAACCTGCCTGTCCGACCGCGGACCTTTCGACCTGCCTGTCCGACTGCGGACCTTCCGACGTGCTTATCCGACTTCGGACCAACCGACCGGATCAACCGACCACGAACCAACCGACCTGAGTGCATATTTTTTTCCTTTTGTGCCCGACTTCGTATCCTAACTTCCTTTGAGATCCTATTATTATTATTATTATTATTATTATTATTATTATTATTATTATTTGTACGTAACACTAATATATTAATTATTTATATATATATAAAAGATAAGTTTTAATAATATAAATTATATTAAAAATATGTTTTTAGTTTAATTTATTTTTGTTTTATTATTTTATTATAGTATTTTTGAATAAAATATATAAATTTTAATATATGTCAAGTCTGGGTCCGTGTTCGGTCCAATTTTAAATTAAATTTAAGAGTTGTAAAAGATTTTTTTGGATATGTCGGATCTATCCGGTCATGTCGAGTATTGTTCGGATCGGATCCGGATATGATCAAATTTGGGTATAATTGGGTCCAATTCGAATTTCGGGTCTAACCATATATATTTGGGTCGGATTTCGGGTCCGGATGATCATATCCAACCCATTGCAATCCCTAATCAACAATTAACACTCCCAAAATTTATATATATATATATATATTTATTTTTCATTGTATTTCCCTTTCCTTATTGTTTACTTTTTCAAAATTTCTTTTATGGTTTTTTCAATTTTATTTTGATTTCGATTCTTTATGTATTTTCCATCTTTTATTTTCAAGTTTTAATGATATTTTTATTTTTAAAAATCTTTTCGAGTTTTTTTTGCTAATTTTTTTTCCATGCACATGAAATATTCTCCTTGAAAATTTTCTAAATTACCTTAAAAGACCTTTATCTATTTTTCAAACGATGTCGTAAAAATTAAAAATATTTAAATTTTCAGATACAACATATATAAATAAATATTAATTTAATATTTTTTATTTTTTATTTTTATATATAATTAAAATTCTATAAAAAAATTCAAACAAACTAGAATTAAAGTAAAAAATATAATTAAGAAGAGCATAAATAATTGCTTTAATTAATAGAACCACTTTTATATTGATTTTGGACTTATTACCAAATTGATTAATGGAAGTCGTTGGAGGGTAAGTGTGACCGAAGGAAGGAATACGAAGGCGTTAAATAATTAATTATTAAGCTTGAGACGAGAGATCGTAGTTGGTGGGAGGTTGGAGCCGGGGGTAAAATCGTCTTTTAACTCACATAGCTATGCAGCAGCAGCAGCGTCTTTAATTCAAAGCATCGGGAGGTCCGAATTTCTCATCACTCCCAAATTCCCAAAATCGCTGGCAAAGAATTTTCGATAAAACCGGCGGACATTTCCAGACCACCGTTTCTCAGATTTGCTAGACACGCAGGAGAAGCGAGAGAGAATGGCGGACGCCGCGAACCTGGAGGATGTTCCATCTGTGGATCTCATGACGGAGCTCCTCCGCCGCATGAAGTGCGCCAGCAAACCCGACAAACGCCTTATCCTCGTCGGTGCGCTCTCTTTTGACCTTGATGGCTGCTCTTGTTTATTGTCTGTTGGTTTTTTCTTTTTCTTTTTCTTGTTGGATTTACGGGTTTTTGGGGCTGTCGACGGTATCGGATTCAGATTGGAGATTTTGGTTGAGCGCTTGTCGCCTGCGGGAGATTTATGGAGAAGCGTTGAGTTTTGGAAGTAGGCGTTGAGAGGGCATTTGGATTGATTAATGAGTAGATGTTGGATGTGACTGTCCATTCTTTATTTAATTATTTATTATTTTGTTGCGATTTTGATTTCCTGTTTTAGTATTGTGTTGCGAAAGCTCAATTTGTTAAGATGCGGCTTTGTGGGAATTCGATGAGAAAGGATTTTTCATCTTATTAGCTCTGTTCTGCCATGGGTTGTAATTCTATGTTTGTGTCTGGAATCAGCTCTCTGTGCATTTGAGGATTGTGTAAATTATCTGTTGCCCCAAGTAGTTCTCAAGTTGGTTATATGAGCACTGTTGGTAGGTTGGGGGAGAAGACAGAAATTGGTATTACAGCTCTGTATGAACGGCAATTTATCATTTTTATTGTTACAATATGGGGTAATTTAAGTTTTGAATGAAGTTCAGCTAGTACACCTTATGGTTCTTAGAGAATCTCTGAATTTTGTAGGAAATTGGTAGTAGCAGCACTGTATGAACGATAATTTATCGTTTCTATTGTTAGATTAGGTAGTTTAACTATTGCTCGAATATAGGCTTGTATAACTTATGGTTCTTAGAGAATCTCTTAATTTTATTTTATTGGGATCTATGATTAACGAATTTTGAGGAAAATCACAAACAGACCAAGATCCAATTACTATTCATTTCCTGGGGAACATAGTACACTTCAATCTCTTTTCATCCATTCATATATTCGCACATTCGAAAGCACATACTCTTTTATAGAAGTAGGCTTTGAGTTGTAGGTCTCACTTGTTTCATCCCTCAAGAAGTACTTGCCAGTGCTGAAACTTTCTCCGATGGTTTTGTCAATGGATTTTTAGTGGCTTATTTCATGAATCAATTGCAGGTCCACCAGGGTCTGGGAAAGGGACTCAGTCGCCAATCATTAAGGATGAATTTTGCCTGTGCCATCTGGCCACTGGTGATATGCTCAGGGCTGCTGTTGCTGCGAAAACTCCCCTTGGGATTAAGGCCAAAGAGGCTATGGAGAAGGTATGTTCCAAAATCTATTGCTAAAAGTTTGAAATGCTACGTGGCTAATTATGATAATTTGTTTAATATGTGGTGCTTTTGCAGGGTGAGCTTGTTTCCGATGATTTGGTTGTTGGAATAATTGATGATGCGTTGAAGAAGCCCTCTTGTCAGAAAGGTTTTATTCTCGATGGATTTCCAAGGACAGTTGTCCAAGCACAAAAGGTCAACAGTCGATTATACCTGTTTGGGATGTCACTTGTTTATATATTTAATATTAGTGCTTGAATGTCTTATCGAAGCATCTTCGATTTGTTGGTTTCCGTTTATATTTCAGCTCGATAGTATGCTTGAACAACGTGGAGTTAAGGTTGACAAAGTTCTAAACTTTGCCATTGACGATGCCATTTTGGAAGAGAGAATCACTGGTCGTTGGATCCATCCTTCAAGTGGCCGTACCTACCATACAAAGTTTGCACCGCCTAAAGCTCCTGGTGTCGATGACGTAATGACTAATCTTGCGTCTGTGTGGAATTTCTATCTGATTGGGCTCTGTTATTCTTAATTGAAATCATAGAAACCCTGTTCTGTAGGTTAATTGTAGATATTCAGATTTGGCTGAGGGATAATTCTGAATGAAACATCATTAATATCTATTTTTTTTTTTTTTTTCCTCAAGGTCACTGGGGAGCCTTTGATTCAACGTAAGGATGACACAGCTGCTGTTCTCAAGTCAAGGCTTGAAGCTTTTCATAGGCAGACTGAACCGGTATGGCTTCTATTGGATTGTTCTGATGCATATTACGCTAACTTGCTTTTCTATTGGCTTTTTTATACTGTTACCAGTCTTGAAGAAGAAAAGTAGAAGCTTAAATGTTTTTACATCTGTATGCATCTTATAATATGCGGGCATATGTTCTTTGGTATTTTATCTCTAGCTTCATTCTTTGAGTTTGATCTAAACCATTGCTGTTCTTGATACTAATCTATATCTGGTAGAATTATGTTGATAGTGCTTGTCTTTTTGGGGAAAAAATTTGTGTGGATGGTTATAGAAAATTGAATTTCTGTAGCGTTTCCTGAATTAAAGATGAAAAGTAAAATAAGAGATTACGAACCAGCCAAAAACTGTACTTTGATTGCTAAACTTTTTTGGGACGACACTACACTGAACGATCTGAGTGTTGAGTTTGATTGAAAATCACATTAATCGGGATCTGCAAGAAAAACTAATCAAGATTCTATCATATCAGCATCTTTAAATTCCTTCCAGATTACTTAGTTAATCCCCATTTCTGTAAACTACTCATTCAGCTCTTTTCTAAAATGGCAGGTTATCGACTACTATAAAAAGAAGGGCATTGTGGCAAACCTTCCGGCTGAGAAACCTCCTCCAGAGGTCACAACTGAAGTTAAGAAGGCCCTCTCTTGATTGTAGGTCTCCAAGATTTCATTTTTGCGGGCAAATAATAAAAATATGAACTTAAACTTGTTTTATTGCCATTTACTGATGAGATGATACTGAGAGGCTCCAACATTGTCTGTTTTGGTTGAGATGAAACACCAATTAATTATGCTTTTGTTTTTTATTTATTTAAATGACTTTTTAGAACAATTGTGCTTCTGTCAGCAGCTTATGAAATGGCTAATGAATTGATTTTTGAGGATTCTGATGAAGCAAGATCTGGGTGTAAGGATTTTACTGATGAAATGTTGTAGTGTGGATTATGTTGTGATGGATGAGGTGAATCAAAATATGAGCATTGTCGTACGATTTGGGGAACAAAATGTCTTTTAGGTGACCTTTAGGAGTATACCTCTACTATCTATGCCAAAGTATTGTTGGGATTCTCGTTTGCGGATATATAAACAATGATTTAATTTTCCTAAAAGTTTGAGCTTTTAGGTGAGACGGTTATTAGCATCAGACATGGTATCAGAGTCTGGTTAAATCTCGAGTTCGAGCAAGTTACGCATAGCCAAAGTATAACTATGCTTTTTTCCTAGAAATCATTTTTAGCATGCAATAAATAAATTAAAAAGCGAATGAAAATCGGCCACCAAGTTAATGAGGATTTTGATGTTGGAATATATTTTTGATGTGTGGAGAGTTGTAAATGGAGTATGTATTAATGTATACATTAAAGATGATCAATCATCAATATTTTAAGGGTTTGTATAATAGGCAAAATAGTATAAAGTCTTATTGGGTGTGTTTGTTTGTGGGTTTGGGTTTTTGGATTTGGATTTTTTAATAAGTTAAATTTGAATAGTTGTTTGATGTGATATAAACAGACGATGACATTGTATTTTGAATGTAAAATAAATTTGTAATATAATATAAAAAAATTTTGGAGAAAAAAAAAATTTGAATAGTAAGAATATAACCTTTCTGTTTTCTTCTTTGACAACAAATCCCTTCCCATCCCCAAGTTCACAACCTTCATCCTTGCCGGAAAACTGGCGACGGCCTTCAATTCCTCATAAAGTATATTTGGGTTGAGGAGGTTGGCTATGGGGTCGTGACATTTGAATTGAAGTTATTTTAATTGCAAATGGTGTGATTGTTTCTTGATGAGTGACTTGTTGGTGTAGTTATCAGTAATTGTTTCTTAAGTGCATGTATTTAATGGTGAGATGAACGACGTGGATTTTATAAATCAACAATGAGATGAATGACATCTCATTCGACTATTTTCTACTCTCAGATTAAGGGTGGGTTGGAGATAGTGGTTGGTGATGATGTAGACGATAAATGTTCGTTATCGTGTCCCAAATATTTTCTAAGCAAAAACTCACTAGGGATATAATGATTCATTATAGCTAAAAATTACTACAGTAAGTGAAATTTGAAGGGATGACAAATGTTCAATATTTTCTAAAGCACGAGTAAGTAATATAGAATTTTAGTTTAGTATCACAGAGTTTTCAACAAATTACGAAATCTAAAAGGAATCTTATGCTATTTAATCTATATACTCCCATGTCTTGTCTGCCAAATTTATTTTTATTTTTTTTCCCTTAAATTAATTCATTACTATATTTGAAAAAATAAAAAATTCACTATTTAAATATTACACTATATTTATTTATAATAAATACTGCTCACTTTATTACATCATCTCTCTCAATTCTCTTTAATTAATAATTAATTTTTTAAAAATACCTCAAATTATCCTTTTACTTTTTCAATAAAATATATACCCAAATGGGCTAATTTTCTGAACGGAGAGAGTAATATTATATGTGGTACGAAAATTTCTAATGTTATATTAAAATAAATAGAAAACACTTCCTTGTTCAAAATGTTATTCATAAATAATAACATTGGATTTTTTCAAAGAATAAAATTTAAAATATTTTATCCAATTTATTTGGATGATACTTGTATAATTAAACACTAACATGGTTACTTAATACTTCCTCTTTAAGTCAAATATAATTAGTAAATAAGTAAAAAAAATCTTAATAAAAATAATTATGATATAATAAAAATAATTATAAATTAAGATTAAAATGACTAAATAATTTAATTAAAATTAAAAAAATTATAAATTATAAAATTACAAATTATATGGAACGGACGGGAATGAAAAATATGGACACTTATGTGAGACGGAGAGAATATAAGATAAGAGATTTGAAGTAATAAATATAATACTATAAAAATATTTTATACGTTTATAATAAAATATGAGTGTATATTATTAAATTTTCCCATATTTTTTCAAGAAAGAAAAACAAAAAAAACTCATAATATTCCAATATGAATGCAAGGAAGTTTATATATCACTTGAAATTTAGTTACAATTTTTTTTCCACAAACCCTAATTATTATCCTCCTTATTCCTTTGCACATTGTTTTACTCCTTCCTCTCGTAATTTGGGTGGCTACCAGACGATATATGATGTCATTACAAATTTGACATTATTTATATTAATATTATACAAATAAAATATATGAATTAATAACACACACGTAAGTTCAGGATAAGATCCATGGCATCCTAGGCGTCTCTGATTTCTCTCCTCCATCTTCTCGACGACATCCAGTATCTTTCTTGCCCTTGGAATTAATCTTCCCGACCAGCTGCAGATCCAATTCCGTCGCAATCGAATCTCTTACTTCTTGGGTTTTCTCGAAGACGCTTCAGGCTCCTAATTGTGAGGTCCTGTCGTGCTGCCAAGGACATCATTAAATCCTCAGTATCAAACCAAGTTCCTGAATAGAGAGAAAATATATCTGGAGATCTGCTCCGATCGAAGACAGTCGTCAAGCAATAATTCCAAAGATGGATCTCCCGCAAGAAAAGGCCCTTTAAAATAAGAGATGAAATTGTTGCTGTTGGTCACAGACAGAGAGCCATGGATTCTGTCACTGTTGCTGTTTATTCAAGAAAAGCTTCAATGGGGAAGAACACTGTGGTGGGGTTGGAAGATGCTTTAGTTCAAATCAGATGCAAACTCACAGGACTGGGATCCAAGCTAGAAACATTTTCGATTCTTGGAATGGGTGGTATAGGTAAGAATATATCGGTTCTTGTTTGCATTATTGAATTTGGAGGAAATAGGAAAGAAAACTGATATATTGTAATAGGCGGAGTCTTGAAAAGGCCGGAAATGAAGGTGAAGATTACAAATTACGGTGAAGTTTGCAAATTATGATGATGATTTTGACACAAATTTTGCATCCAAACTAAGTGCATCGTGTTCGTCTAGATGAGGTGAAATTATTGATTCCTTCGACATTAAAGTTACTTTGGAATCTTCAACGTTTAAGAATTTATCTAAACTCTCCACTCAAGATTTATCTCAAGATATATAAAAGATGCCAAAACTCAGGGCGATTGATTTCTTAGAAGGAATCCTACCTGATCCTATAGCCATTGATATTGAGAGGAAAGATTATATTGTCCTAAATAATCTTCATACTGTACTTGGAATATATAATTTCAAGTGTACCAAGGAAATCATTGATCAAATCTGGAATTTGAGGAAGTTGAATGTTTCTTATGAAGACGGATCTAAGGGGGGAGTGAAACCACTGAGCTTTGCTCTGTGTAATCTTGAGCAACTACATAAGTTTGAATCGCTGATGATTAGAAATTAAGAGAACACAACTTTCGTAATTTGCTCAAACAATTGTCTTAGAACAATTGCAACCGAGTCTTGAACGACTTCATATATATATGGTGGCGTGCAAGGGTTAGAGTGGGAGCCTGTTCAAGCTGAATGGTCGAACTTCCCTATTCTTGAGAGGCTTTAGCTTACTGAACTACGGTTATTTGGAGGAGATCCCTTGAGGCATCGGAGATAAACTAACATTCCAATCAATTTTTGTGATGGATTGCAGTGAGTCTGTCTGTCATTGGTTCGGAAAAGAAAATATGGAAGGAGCAGCATGAGTATGGCAATGGGACTGCTATTGATGTTATTGACAGAGAATGGTCTGTCCGATAATCAAATTGGTACTTTCACCGCAAGAATGACAGAGGCTGCTTGTCAAACTTTTGCTTATTCAAGATATCTCTGGGAAAGTCTCGAGAAGGTTGCTCGACATGGCAGCCACTCTCTAAACTCAAAATATATGGAAGCTGTGGAGGAAGCCATACATTTTCTCAAAGTTTTTCACCCAAGGAAGAGCCAAGAAATGGAAAGTTTGCTCCGCAAAATGGCCCTGGCTACGAATAAAGAGAATGTTGTGATCCATAGACTATGCTCGGAAACTTTGAAGACAACTCACAAGGTATTTAAATATCAACACCACTCACTCACCATAAAGTACAATGTTTTTTTCCTTTTCCAATTATGCCTATTTAATTTCTTGCAAATTGATACGATTTTGTCTATTTGCCAGAAGAATCAACAGACAAGATGGCAATCTATATATATATATAAACATATCTTTTATTTGTTACAAATATTTTTCACTGCAAGAATGACTGGGGCTGCTTGTGAATCATCCGGTTATTTAAAATGTCTTCAGGAAATACTTGAGGAGGATGCCAACAAGGTTGTGATTTTCAAGACACAAAACAAGTCGAAGCTATGGAATAAGAAATCCATTTCTTGAAGGACTTTGTGAAACATTTTCATCAAAGTAAAAGCCAAGAACTGGAAAGTCTGTTAAACGAGATATCTCAGGCTAGCTGTCTACAGAGGAGCAGCTACACTAGGACATTCGCGACTATGTTAAAAGATCGTTAGAAAAGATCAACTTCATAAAAATGGGCGTTGTTGATGTTGGTTGACTCTTGTATATAAATAAATAATGTCGTGTGTATCTTTTCAATGTTTTTATACATTCTCATCTCCGGCATCTCCCTGACATGATATCAATTCAAGTTAAGTGTATCGGTTCGAAATGGTATTAGTTAAATGCTCACTAAATTTCATCTTTAATTTGAGGATATAACCATTAAAAATTATGAATTATATCAAACCAATTCATCATTTTAAACAAAGTAAAATTACATATAAAGAAATTTAATACAAAGAACATTTAAAATGAGGGCGATGGACATTATTTAAAGTTCATATTAATCACACATATTAATTCTTATTCATGAATATAAATTCCTAATCGAGGGTTTTTTGTTCTTTTTTTTTTTTCTTTATCTTTTCAAAGATTATGAAAAATTCTATCAAGAATAATGAATAGAAACACTTTTCGGACAAATTTTCATTATTGAAGTTGCATATAAAATAGGATATTTCCCCATATTTTGTATGCAACAATTTAAATTTAAATTTAAGAACAAAATTTGTAGCAACTTTTCAGAAATTAAAAACAAATATGCTACTTAATAATAATTTCATACTTCTAAGATCCAATCTATTATTGCAGGATAAAATATATACAAAATCAATCATGTTGCCAAACTTAAATTCATAATCTAAAAGTAAAGTAGAGAATGGAAATTTCTAATCTACAAAATCAATCATGTTTGTTTGGAGGTTTGGATTTTGAGTTGAGATTTGAATAGTAAAAATTTTGAATTTGATTAGTCGTATGATATGATATAAATAGGCGTTGATGTGATGTTTTGAATATAAAATTGATTTTTACTATAATATAAAAAATAAAAAATAGATTTTGATTTGATGTTTTTTAAAGAAAAAAATTGGATGAATAGTCCACGCTATATTCAATATAGTACCAACCTTTTATTCAAAATATTACATGATTTCTTTTTTAACGCTTATCACACCTGGAAGATAACAAAAGTCTTATATTCACATCAGGCTAAGGAATAAATAATTCCACACTGTACCTAACCATAAGATATTTTTCCAACCTGACAAATAATAATGAACATATTCTAATGAACAAATCAATAATAAACTGACAAGTGGAGTCAATAATCAAAGTATCACTCCGAATGATTACTGTAAACTTCAGATTAAATTATATCTCCCCTACTTCCACCTTCACTTTCACTTCGATCTGAACAATTTTGTTGCAGAAACAATATCGAGAGCTTTTGATCAGACATGGCTGTTGCTGCTTATGCATCGTTGGTTTCTCTTACTCATGTCCTCGACAATCTCCACTATCGCGCCCGCTTTAATCTCCCTCGTGCCGACATCAAACAAGTCGAAGAACTCAGGGAAAATGTCAATTCCTTGCTGCAATTTGTCGAGCGTCATTCGGCAAGGAAGAGCTCTGAGCTTCGACGTCTGTGGAGACAAATGACTGAGGCTGCCGCTGAAGCAGAAGGTTCCATCAACTTCCATGTGGTCCATCTGCTCCATGTGAGATCTCAAGGAGAAACGAGTGATGCTTCCAACTTCTCAGCTTTCTGTGAAGAAATGAAGACATTGATCAAAAAGTTTTGCTCCATCGAAGACAAGCTTCCGGTGATTGACGGAGGGGAGGATAATCAAGCTCAAAAGCAATCCAATTCTGTCGTTCCCTCTGGTGGTTCGTCTTCAGCTTCTTCGTATGTCAGCGATCTTGTTGTGGGACTGGACGAGCATGTAAACGAGATCAGGGAAAAGCTGGTCGAAGGTAGATCTGATTTCAAAATTCTCCCAATTGTTGGGATGGGCGGTATTGGTAAGACCACTCTGGCTAAAATTGTCTTTCAAGATAAGTTTATTGTTGAGCACTTCGATTTACGTATTTGGCTTCCCATATCTCAACAATATAGTGCTAAACAAATTCTTAAAGTTGGCCTTGGAGAAAAGGCGGGAGAAAACAAAATATTTGAAAGTTTAGATGAGTTGGGAACTAGATTCTACCAAAAATTGTTCGGTAGAAGGTATTTGATTGTTATGGATGACATGTGGTCAACGGGAGCTTGGGATGATTTACGGAGGTATTTTCCCAACGCTGGAGATGGAAGTCGTATTTTGTTAACAACTAGACTCTCAGACATGGCTGCTGCTTTAGGATCTTATGATCCACATCGATTAACCTTTTTAGATGAAAATGAAAGTTGGAGATTATTTTGTCAAAGTGCTTTTTCACAAAAGGGTTGTCCATACGGCCACTTGGAAAAGTTTGCAAAGGATATCACAAGAAGCTGCAGAGGCCTTCCTTTAGAAATTGTTGTCGTTGGCCGTTTGCTAGCAAATTCTGATACGACTGCAAAATATTGGAATAATATTTGGAGAAATATTAGTTCATTTGTTGATTTGGGAGACGATGACCATTGTATGAACATACTCTCTTTAAGTTATGAGAGCTTGCCCATTGAACTCAAAGTGTGCTTTTTATATATGCGAGTTTTTCCTGAAGATGGAATGATTTTTGTCTCGGAATTAATTGACTTATGGATTGCTGAAGGATTCATTAAACCTGTAAGTGGTAGACGTTTGGAGGATATCGCGAGCGAGTATGTAAGTAGCCTTATTGGTAGAAATCTAATATTTAGCAAGGATGAAGATCAATGTGGTATTCATGATCTTCTACGGGATCTTTGTTTTAGAGAGTCTAACGAAGAATGTTTTCTCCAGTTTCCACGAGTACAAAGGGTTAACCAACTAAAAGGCATTTTTTGCAACCATTGTTGTAAAAAAGTCAAGGACAGTGAAGGGTTACATGTTTTAAAACCATCTTATATCTTTGGATCGCCATCACTAGATAATCCTCGTCTTTGTGATGCTTGTAATAAGGTGTACTCGCATATTACAAGACATAGTTTGGTAAGGATGGCAATTTACAAAGATCAGGAAATTTTGCAGCCAACAGAATTGCGACTTCTTGATTTAGATGTGCAAGAATTGTTGTCTCCTTCGACAATATATTTACTTTGGAATCTTCAAAGTTTAGACATTGAATTAAACTCTTCTTCACCTACAAGTTTTCCGGCAGAGATATGGGAGATGCCACAACTCAGAGAGATTCGATCTCAGAACCAAATGCTTTTACCGAATCCTACAGACACTGATATTAATGGGGTAGAAGTTCTTATCCTTAATGACCTTCACACTATACATTTAGCATGCAATGTGAAGTTTACTAAGGAAATCATTGATCGTATCCCAAATTTGAAGAACTTGAAAGTTGCGTATCATCACTTCGAAAATGAGGAGGACATGGAAGATTTGAACTTTTGTCTATGTAATCTTGAGCAACTAAAAAAGCTTGAATCACTATCGATACGGTTTTCCTCGGAGAGCATGACCTTCCCTAAATCACTAAAAGAGTTGTCCTTGACAAATTGTAAAATGACATGGGAAGATATGTCCATTGTTGGTTCATTGCCTAGTCTTGAAAAACTGGAGATAAATGGTCAGATACAAGGTGACGATTGGAAGCCTGGCGTCGGCGAATTCCCTTGCCTGAAAAAGCTGCAAATACATTATACTCGTTTACGGCGTTGGGAAGTTGGTGCTGAAAACTTCCCAAAACTTGAGCACCTTCTACTCAAAGGATTGTATTCACTGGAGGAGATCCCTTTAAGTGTTGGAGATATACCAACATTGAAATCAATTGTGCTGAATTATTGTAGCGAATCTGCAGCTGACTCGGCAAAGAAACTGTGGGAGGATCAATACGAGTTTGGTAATGACATTAGGATTGATCTTTTCAATATAGACAGGGTCTCGTATACAGTTGGTACGTCTACTGCAAGTATGACGGCGACTGGTTGTAAATCTTTGGCTACATTCAAACATCTTCAGCAAAGACTCGAGGAGGTTTCTGAGCTAGGCCGTAATTCTATAGACGAAAAACAATTGGAAGTTTTGAAAGAAGACATTGATTTCTTGCAGTACTTTGTCAAAGTTTTTCATCCGAGTAAAAGCCAAGAAATCGAGAATTTGTCAAGTGAAATAGCTCAGGCTATCCATAAAGCAGTGGTTGTGATCCAGAGGCTACACTTGGAAACTCTGACACCTATATTCGGTAAGATCATCTTTGAAGATGTCGGGAGATTGTTGGCGATTATAGACTTCATGAAAAGAGAGTTATCGGTGGCTGAAGCGGAAGGGAAAGAAGACAAATATGAGAGCCTTCAAATTGATGTCACTGACAATGATGTAACATTATCGTATGATATCAAATCATTGAGAATAATCTATTTGGACATGACTGTTATTGATGGAGATTTGAGAGAATATCGAATCAATTCTGTGACCGCGACAATGGCGGAGGCTGCTAGTTTACTTTGGTCTGAATTAGCTTGCATCGTGGAGCTGTTCCGGAAGGCTTATGAACTCAGCCGCCGTCATCTGAACGTAAAGAAAATGGAAGAGGTCGAAGAATCCATCAGTTTCTTGCAGGATGTTGTCGAAGTTCATCCTGAAAGAAAAATCCAAGAAATCGAGAGTTTATCATGTAGATTTGGCCATGGATTCGATGTGCCAAGGCTTCGGGATTTTGAACTTACTTGGCTGAGATCTCTCGACAACATAGCCGATGAAGACATCAAATCCCTCTTGAGAGATGTGGAAAGGATGACAAAAAAAATATGCTCTATGAAAGATGCGTTGTTGGCACCAAAAGGGGAAGACAACTCTACAGATGATGAAGAAGATGACTATTGTTAAGGTATCTTTTTAAATAAGGCTGATTAGTTTCATGAAAAATTTATTTTATTTTCATTTAATTTCTGATGTACGCTAATATGATAATCTGTTTGGTTATGATTTAGTAAAAATTAAATTTAAAATACTATTTTAAAAAACTTTAATAATAATTTTTTAATGAATAAGATTATATATAATATTTAGGGTGAATTATATATTCAACACCTGAGTTTTAATAAATTTGTACGAAATCCCTGTATAGAAAGAATCACTTTAAAACACCTTCTGTTATTGATATTTTGCGGACGTCCTTTTTTTAGTAAAGGAGTTAAATAAATTTTAAAATGACTGTTATATCCTCCTATTTCATTCCTTTTCATGAAATTAATATAATTAATTAAGAGTAAATTATATAACAAAAAGCGCAATATATCTTAAATACCTTTTTGTGAAACTTTCTTGTCCTGATATTTAGTTCTAAATAAAAAGCGCAAAATATCTTAAATAATTTTTTTTGCATTAAATAAATAAATAAATAATTTATTAATCTTTCATTTTATAATATTTGAAGACAAATTGTTGTTGATTTATATATATATATATATATTTTTGGATAAACTGTTTTTTTAGTCCGTGAGGGACCCTTTTATCATTTTAGTCCCGTAAGCAGAACCTGTTGCAAACTAGTCCCATAAGTGAAAAATTTTCGCTGTTTTAGTCCTCCGGCGCCGGAGACGCCCGCGTGGCTCGCCGGAGGTGACGTGTCCCCCAGGTCAGCGACACCTGGCGGACACGTGGATTTTTTTTTTTAATTTTTTTTGAAACTTATTTTTAATTTTATTTATATATTTTTAATTTTTTAATTTGATTTAATTTAAAAAAAATTAAAAAATTGAAAAAAATAAATAAATCCACGTGTCCGCCAGGTGTCGCTGGCGGGACACCTGGCGGATACATCACCTCCGGCGAGCCACGCGGGCGTCTCCGGCGCCGAAGGACTAAAACAGCGAAAATTTTTTCGTCAGACTAGTTTGCGACAGCTCCATTTACGAAACTAAAATGATAAGGGTCCAGTTTATTTTTTATTTTTTATAAAACTCAATGTATATTTAGGTTTTTATTTGGAATTTTATCTAAACTTTTCATTAACACAAAAAATTTTAATAAAAAATAATTAAAACAATTATTCCATTCCATTAAAACAAATATTCCATTCCATTAAAATAATTAAAACAATTATACCCAATTAATTAATTAATATATCTGATACACAATTAAAACAAAGAAAAAAACAAATAAACCAATTGCGATTATCTATATGCCATTCCCCCAATTTCCAATTTTTCGAATGGGGATTGAGATTAGGGTTCCGAGTAGCATTCAACATTCTCCAGTGATCAATGCATTCTTGGACCACAAATTTGGCTTTTGGTCGTGGATGTGAATTTGAAGGTATGAAATTATTTTTGGTCTAGAGAACTTGTATTGGGTTTTTTGAACAATGCATTTCCCTGACATAAAATACTTTCTCCGGTGTCATTTTTGAATAAATATATGTATAATTTTGTCGGGATTGAGATTTGTTTGGGATTACTTTAATTTATTGCCAGGAATTTTGGAGAGGAGCAGCGTAGCTTTTTTTTTTTTTTTTTTTTTTCCTTTTTTATTTGTTCGGTGAAGACTCGTGTGGTGGTGGTGGGGTAAGGTAATATACTATTTTTTGTCGGCCCCTTTTAATATTCAGGTTTCAATATGGTGGAGGAAGAACGTAGTGTTGAACCGATTGGGGAGGGAGTACAAAATGTTGAATCACAAGCGGGGACTGAAGCAACTACAAAAACGAGCACGGGGAGGAGGAGGGGGCTGCTACGGATTTTGGAGTGGCGGGCAATGATGGAGGATTTTGGAGCTGCGATGGGAGGGTGGGTGGTGATGATGGTGGATTTCCAAGTGATGGTGATGAAATGCTAGGCGTTGGTGGAGATGATGCTAATGAGAATGACAGTGTAGTAAGTAAAGAAAGGCATCACAGTGATTCTGAAGATCCATAGTGGATGTATGACGATTTCGATGGTCCTTCTGATGATGATATTTTGGCTAAGAAACCAGGATCATCATTGTCTTTCAGATTACATGCATTAAGATTCTCTTACAAGGCGAGTCAACCAAGAATATCACCGAGAGGTGCCATTTGTTCCCAACCAGATTCATGATTGTTCTAAAGGATTGTGAATGTGTGGCTAGATTGAAATGTATGTGAATAGCATGGTCTGGCTTTGTATGTGGTGGGGGAGTTTTGCGTTTGAATTTTTGGTCGGCATGTTAGGGTGATATCGTAAGATATTGGCATGTTGTTTGTGTCATATTGAACTATGTTTTTTTTGTTATTTTGAACTATGAATCTGGAGGTCATTTCTATGGATGATTTAGTTGCAAATATATTGCATATTGACAGGTTTGTATTGATGTAATTTCGAACTATGGTATTTGTGTCATTTTTAGATTGACTCGGGTGCAAATATATTTTATATTGATATATATGCAATAATATTATTTTTAACTATGTTGTTGTTGTTGTCATTTTCACTTCTTTTACAACAAGTTATAGATTTTTTTATTGGTGTATCATGACAATGCAATTTAGGACACAAATGAATACAATGAAAGAATACTCAGATACATACCTACTTACACATTACCACACATATGACAACAATAATAACAATACAAAGATATGTAATCAACCAACATTTGAGACAGATCCAAATGAGCAACTGATAGGGCTTTCTGGATTATGCCGGAGCAGTGAAATGCTTGCATGAAGCCCAGTAATATTGTGATGTCCAATCAGCCTCTGACCAGGTACCCACCCTACTGTAAAGTACATAATTTGAAATGATGTATATTTGTTTAAACTTGTGTTTTTCTCAATGATGGATGCATGACTGACTGCCTCTGTTGATCAATCGACTGCTTAGAGAAAAAACATACAGTAGACATTATTTTTGTCTTTTTATTAAATATTTTGGAATTATCTTTTATCAGACACGCACAAACCGCGCGTGATTCAACATTCCGTTAGTTGTAGACAGAATAGGGGTTTTATGCATACTTTTTCAAATCACAATGATTAAATAGGCAAAAACTTAAATACAGGGGATTTTGTGCAAAAATTAAATAACACAAGTGCCTGAAATGGAATTTACTCTAATATTTATTGAAAATTTATAAAATACATTTGTTTACTTAAAAGAAAAAGAGATAGAAATATCATATTATTCCGGGATCCATCGTTTTGATCAAACACCTATTAGTGTTCATATGTTGGCAATGTTGTGGTGGAAATTCAAAGTTTTTCGCTTTTTAACATATCAAGAATCGGGACCAATACGGTGCCGATATTAGTTATGGGCATGGCGTTGATATGATCTTACATATGTTGAGATTGGATGCAGGGATTAAGGCGGCTGTGCTGAAAAGCACATTGCGTGTTGTCTGATAGTATAAAGTATTATTACAGACAACACATTGTATATGCTAATATAATACAAATACGACAAATAAACTAACAATACATGCTATAATCACATACAACGCACAACAATTGATTTTAGCATATGATATACTCTTATACAACACACATATAATTATGAGCAAATATCTTATAACTTTATTACACACAACATATGCCGTGTGTAATAAAAATATATATTTTTTTTTTATAGCGTGGAAACCTGCAGCTGCTATCCGAAATTGCGCATTGGGTAAATACATGTATTGTTTCTAGATATTATGGATATTGATTTGGACAATGCTGAATTTTCGAAATGAGTACTGTAATTATTGTTAAGGATTAAATATAATTATATATATTATAGTAATTATGGTAAGATTTAATTGTCCCTATTTCCTATTCATTATAGTCGATGCAATAAATAGCAGTCAGTTTTTATAAAGAAAATAAATAATTTTTTTTCATGAAAATCTAAAACATTTTTTCCATTGGGCATTGATTTTGGGGACGAGTTTCCTTCGCAATCATTCTCGTTCGGTCGATTTTGCCCCGTATAAAAGATGAATAATATTTTAGATGATGTGATGCCCAATCTTTCCGGTGAATCAACCATAATGTTTTTGCATAGTTGTCAAGGGCAGGTAAGTTTATATATAAATTTTCCTGGTTGTTGTTTGTAATATACATTTCAACATATTTTATACTTTCAAATATCATACTGTATGCAGGGAATTAGGTTCGGCCGGCGATTTACCCAGTGCGCATTTTCGGGCAGCAGTTGCAGATTTTCATGTCAAAAAAAAAAATCATACTGTACTATGGTTCACATATGTTACCACCAAAAATTAATCGTCCGGATGTACTAAATAATTAAGGCGTTTAGGCATTCAAATGTTGACCAATTTCTTAAAATCACCCGAGTATGTGAGTTAATAAAAGTAATAGTTTTAGAATAAAATAACAGGGGCCTAAGGGAGACCTATGTTACTCTGGAAAAATATTAACTTGTTTCGGATAAGATTTTGGTTCCCGAAACCGATTAAGATTCTTAAGGTCCGTTCCGATAAAAACTTTTGACTTCGGAGATTATCTTAAGGCCAATTTGAAAATTGGTTCGATAAAAATGCAAAGTTGGTTCAAAAAAAATATTGTAATTTGGGTCCCAACAAAATACTCCAGTTCCAATAAATATTCTGATTATAAAAAAAATATTTTGGCCTTTGGTTCCAAATAAATAAATATTTAGGCCTTGATTCAATAAATATTTTGGTTTCAAATAAATATTTAGACCTTGATTCCAATAAATATTTTGCTTCCAAATAAATAATTAGGCCTTTATTCCCATAAATATTTTGGTTTCAAAAAAATATTTAAGCCTTGATTTCAATAAATATTTTTGTTTCAGATTCCAATAAATATTTTAGTTCCAAAAAATATTAAGGCCTTGGTTCCAATAAATATTTTGGTTCCAAGGAAATATTTAGGCATTGGTTCCAAGAAAATTTTGGCTCCAGATAAATATTTATGCCATGGGTCTAATAAATATTTTGGTTCCAAAAATATATATATTTGTACTTTGGTTCCAACGATTATCCCGGTGTCAATTAGGACAACACGCTTTGGCCTAAAGTCTGACAACCATGCTGACGGTATCGATAAATATGTCGGTGTCGAATCCGATGGTATTTAGTTCTAATAAACCACGCCGATTCTGACAACTATTTCAGCTGTACATATATTTTATGGTATTAAAGGATGTCAAAAGATTACACAGAAAATGTGGATGTGTGCACATGCTGACATAGGAAGAATAAATTCTACAGCGAAATTGAATTTGAATTGTAACGGCAGTTGAATCAAGTATGATTTTATTAACAAAAATATTATAATTTTGTTATAAAATCACAAATTATTCAGATTTAGATTTTTTGATAAAATTGGATATTATTATAATAATTAATTAAATTAAGTATTCTAAATTATTCTTATGTTAAATATTACATCCCTCTAGTTTTCAGTAAACTAGAAATAAAATGTTGATTCAGAGACACTATAGGGCTTAATGTAATAATTGTAAATCACATTCACACATCTCAATCAAAATTTTTTTTTTTTTTTTATTTCCTGCAATTTATTTTTAATTTTTAATATTTTCTTCTTTTTCTCTAATTTCTTACTATCAAACGTCTGGGCATTGCATTTGATACGAATTAAAGATTTAATCATTCTAAATCTTTCAGAAAAAGTTTTTGGTTATCATCCGGTTGAAAATTTTTCAACCCACGATAATATTTTGACACGCCCAATGGGACAATAATTTGTTCTTCAAGGAAAATCAATCCGACTTCACTAAGTTAAGATCCTCGCCTGATGGCTTGATTCGAAACATCAACATCGGCAGAGGATACCAATGCCGTCCACACTACGTCTTCTGGTTTTCCACCTCCGCGGGTATATATTCCAGAAGGGGTCACTCCGATTAGGTAGAGAGATGGGCACCTTTCGACGGTCAGGAGGCATCAAACCTGGCCACACATGGGAATACAGCTGTACTATCCAAAGGAATGTGCCAGCAATTGATCCACAGTTTTCTACTGCACAACGGATAGGAAGCACGACCACACCCCCACCGATCTCCTAAATTGAAGACAGAGTTGGATCTTATCATTATCAGCCTATTACTTCGGCTAAGTTTGGAAATCCCGGCCAAAGATGGCCACGTACAGCTGTACCTTTGTTTACAGACGCCAACGCCACTCAAACTTATGGCGCATCACGACATCCGGTACAGAATTATCAGCCTCTTCCTCAGCAACGGCCACCCTATGTAAATATTTCTAGGGCCGCACCAAACCTTCAAAGCCAACCACAGGTCCTCATGGCACAAGACATAGTGAAATCCCGTTAATATGGAATTCACACCCCGTGACACAACCTGCACAAGGTGGCCATGATATAGTACAAATGGTACAGGATCCCGTACGTCGAAAACTTGGGACCCAGGGACAAGGACCTCATGGCCTTGCGTACCGAAAACCTTTTCTAGAGTGGGTCGAGCGCAATTATCCATTGCCTCATCAGGTCAAGATCCCAGAGTCTTTTATGTTTTCAGGGGAAGATGACGAACCATCTGTCGAACATGTGGCCAGATTAACCATTCTCATTGGGGAATTGTCTCTCAACGAGTTTTACAAATTGCAATTATTCCCCCTAACTTTAACCAAGAAATTTTTTTCATGGTATTCATCTATTGGTAAAGATTCCATACAAAATTGGACTCAGATAGAACGAGAATTCCATGACCGATTTTACAGTCCTATACCAGAAACTACGCTCACTGACTTGATGCCTTCATAGAAAATATCAGACGGACTAAAACCCAAGGTCCAATGCGAATCAGAACTTGCTAACATTGCAATAAGAAATATGGTTCCGCATTTGCAGGATCCGCTTACTGCCAGGAAGTCTAAAATTGGGCACAATTGACATCCAAGGCTGTACGTCTGGAGCACCTTTTTCATGAGAAAGACAATATGGGTAAATGAACCGGTCATTAGGTTGTTGTTATCAAAGTAGAGGATACGAGCGACGGATCTGATTTCCTGGATGTTATCGAGGAAGCAACAATGGAGCTTGTACCGGGGAAACCATACACTTGTTCCAACCTCAAGCCGCCAAAAAATAAAGACATACCAAAGCTTCAAAATGAAGCCTGCCTGTTTGATGTTACGCAAGCTGATATAGTTTCGATGAATTACTAAAAGGCAACCAAATTCGTATCCCTAAAGGACAGAAGTATTGCAAGTGGCATAGCTCATTTCGACATGTTACCACTGTCTTTATTTCAGAATGATCATCCAAAAGTCCTTGAAGAATGGATGTCTCAAATTGGCTGGAATGAAGGTGGATAACGAACCTTTTCCTAAGATTCAGATCGCCACCATAATAGCGCGACCCTCCTTGCCGAAAGTAGCATCCTCTTCGGCTCACAGACCGCCCTGGGGATAATCCTCTATTAGGCATCACAAAGGTAAGACAAAGATTGAGGATGTCGATGTTACCAAACCAGTACCAAACCATCAGGGCAAATATATAGCTAACGCACAAGAAACAAGTAATCAGGAGACCGCCAAGATAATATATCTTGGTGATCAAGATAGGTGTCCCCATTCATAACCAACACGAAACCAATATTTGATCCCAAGCCACACATTTACGACCAGGAGAATCATCACATTGTGACAATAAGCACACGCCACTTTCACATTTGGTTCATGGTGACGACGTATTTTCACCAAGCCGGTAGTAGAAATACGTACTCGCGGAAAAAATTATGAAGTCAATTTCTGGATGAACGTGGAAGCATATCAACCATGATCGCAAGTTCCGCGATCAGGAATCAATTCCACTAAAACATGAAATACAATAGAAGGTAGAATGTCCCGATAAATTTTCTCGGCCCCAGTTATGTCGGCAAGAAAGGCAATACGCGGCCCGGAGGAGACAGCAGCAGGGATAGCTTCCCAATTAGGTCCCAAGTGACCTTTCTTCTGATGCTCGAAAGATTATTGAAGAGACTCAAAACTGACCGGGAGTTACAGTCTTCGTATTGGACAACATACAACAGAAAACCTGATACTTTGACAGCCCAGGTTCACCATCCAAAAAATCTAGATCCCCACTAGATGATTCTTCCGGTCACCAGAATGACAGACTTACCTCGAAACCAGAAGAGCATGCATTGGGAGCTATAATCAAACAGACGGCTCAACAGATGGATCACAACTCGATCAACAAAGACGGTCATCCACGCTTCAAAATACAAAGATAGAAACGCACAACTTGAGTCGTAAAACGGTGGGAACTACAACCTGAAAAATGATTCACTACAGAAGGAAGATTTCCCCAAGATTTTATAAGTCGAAACCAAGACACACAAGGAAGAATTTATGAATCCTATCAACCCGGATTCATCATTCATTTAAGTTGGAGATATCACACAGAAAGACTTGGAAGCAGTATGGCTAGAGGTTTGGACCGCCGAAGATGACCAATACCTCCAAGAGTTAGATATTGATATTGCGATGAAAGAAGAACAACTTCAACAAGATGATCTCTTAACACAGGACGACAATACAATGGCAAATATCAGTATGCTAGCAATCGATCCTAGTTGTGACGAGTATCGCCCCGAACTCGATACATGGGCCGAGGATGATGAATCATGGGCATGTTTGGTTACTGATAATGAGAGCACTCAGCCCTTCACACCATCATCTAATATGTTCAGGCCATTACCTCTTGACTCTGCTAGTCATTTGGAACCACTTTATGTCAAGGCTCACTTTGATGGAAGACCGATATACAAGGTATTTGTGGATGATGGCGCACTCTTGAACATCATGCCATACACAACTGTACAAAATATTGGTAAAACCAGATCCATCTGTTAAATCAGATATTAAGATGACAAGTTTTGCAAGTCAGCATACAGAACTACCGGGTTTGTTGATTGCAGAGATTGATGTGGGGCCAAAGAAAATAACATCTGTATTCTTTTTCATGGATGTACCAACTACGTACAGAGATTGGATCCATTCTACGCATTGTATCCCATCTACTCTCCACCAACAACTAAAATTTTGGGACGGGGATAAAGTTGAAATGGTAGAAACAGACTCAGCACATTTTGAATACAACACTGGGCCTTACGAATCTATGTTTTATTTAAATAACATAAAACCAGTTATGACCATGGCCTCCATGGAGACCGAGCCTTGGGACCTCTGTCAATTTACATCCCATGGGTTTCGAATGATACACATGGCTCGAGGTGAGACCAACTCCAGCAACTAGAAGTTGATGTATTGGATAGCAATCCAGAACATGTATTAAAGGTTGGAGAATACCTTCAGGTCGTACTCTTAGCCAAGATCTGGATTGTTACATATCAAATCGAGGCCATAGTCGAACAATTGCCTGGCGATAATTCTTCTTCTATCGTCAAATCATATCCCGCAATAGGCTTTGAAACAAGTCTTTGCGGATCCAGAGTTCTGAGTTTCTTGAAATTTATCATTTGGCTTCAAAAGATTCATCCATATGACTGGGGGGCCTATGTTGCCACAAAAAATTAATCTCCCGCATTAAATAATTAAGGCTTTAGGCATTCCAATGGTGATCAAATCCCTAAAAACCACCCAAGTGTGTGAGTTAATAAAAATAATAGTTTTAGAATAAAATAAATATGAAGCCTAAGGAAGACCTATGTCACTTTTGAAAAATATTAATTGGTTTCATATAAAATTTTGGTTCCCAAAACCGACTACGATTCTTAAGGTCCGTTTCGATAAAACTTTTGATTTAAGAGATTATCTTAAGGTCAGTTTGAAAGTTGGTTCAGATAAAAATGGAAAAGTTGGTTCCAAAAAAAATATTGTAATTTGGGTCACAACAAAATACTCTGGTTCCAATAAATATTCTGGTTCCAAGAAAGTATTTTAACCTTGGTTTCCAGAAAGTATTTTGGCCTCGGTTCCAAGGAAATATTTACGCCCGGGTTCCAATAAATATTTTGGTTCCAAATAAATATTTAGGCGTTGATTCCAATAAACATTTTGATTCCAGAGAAATATTTAGGTCTAATTTTAATAAATATTTTGGTTCCAAAAATATATTTAGGCCTTGACTGAAATAAATATTTTAGTTCTAGAAAAATATTAGGCCTTGTCAATAAATATTTTGCTTCCAAAGAAATACATAGGCATTGGTTCTAATAAATATTTGGCTCAAAAAAAAATATTTGGGAACATCTAAAAGAGTGGGAAAATACATTCCACTAAAAAAATAATAGAAGAAGTTGATGGAAGGACAAAAAAACCCTACAAAACAAAGTGTAAATTAGGCTACGAAATCAATAGAGGCCTCCTGTCACCTCTAAGTAGGATTTTTCGGAGCCTCTGTCAATCTTCCTTTGAATCAGCCGCTGGTTAGAAATTTTCATACTTTTATCATTAAAAAATAAAGATATTTTTTCTTATATGTTCCTCCACGTGCCTTTTGGTTTTCTCCTATAGTAATTTAATGTATTGATATGTCAAATAAATTTAGGGATGCATGTGATATTTAGTCAGCATTATTACGTTTTCATCGTGATAAAGAAATTAGATATTTTTATTATTTTGAGCCAAATTGATGTAAAATCAAATACTGCGTTTGTAAAAATTGACCGAATCCGACCGAACAAATAGTTCATATAAATAACAATACAATCAATGTAACAGTAGGACGGAGGTTTGGGCGTTTGAGACACCCCAAGCCCCTATGTGGCGCCACCATTGCAGTAGAAAGTGTCATAAAAGAAACAAATGTATGGTCTTGATATTTCCAGGTTTGTGATAATTTCGTGAATCGATTTTCTTCAAGCTGTTGAATCAATTGCTATGGGATTGAACAGGACTGCTTCTATGTCTTTCCTCAGCCCTGTTTCCGAATATGTAATCGCATCTGTGCCTTGATTGTAACTGATGAATACGGCCCGTGCATAGTTAAGTGAAATATTTAAATATTCCCTCGGCTCCGCCTTTGTAGTAATCCATTCCCTATTCATTTCCATCCATGCATTCTCAGATAGTTCGCGAAACTTAGTCATTGCTTCTTCTTCCGATGCACCATAATCTTTTATGTAGCAATCAATTGATGTACTTGGAAATCCACTTCTATTGTGTTCGCGCTTCAAACCAATAGATGTAAATTAGTCATATAGATATATGCGGGAAAAATTGCAAAAACTATCCCGTACAATGTTCAATTATCATTGTTCTCTTTTACTTGTCGCACTAGCAAAATATATTTGGAACATGTCACAATTTTCGCTATTTAAATTCTATGGCTTGTGCGTGAGTTTTTACAATTTGTCAATGCACGCGTTACTATCATTGAATGACATATGGCATAATAATATTAGATAATATTAAATATGTAAATGATTTTTTTAGCAAAATTGTGACATATCAGAGATATATTTTGTTAGGATATCCATGAAGTGCAAGTAAGAGTGACAACTACGAGTGAGATAAAATTTCACGCGCTATCAATATACTGAAATAGCAAACTTGTGACATATGTAGAATATATTTTGCTAGACTGACAATTGAGTATACGGCATGATATTTTTTTGCAATTTTCTTGATATATATATATATATGAATGCGTGTGTGTGATATATTTACGGGAGTATGAGAAGTAGGGAGTGGAACGTACTTTATAGCTGCCTCTATCATTACTAAATCGAATGTATAGACCGGTGGCCTCCAAAAATTTAGGCCTTGTCATGAGCCATTCGAATGCTTCCTTTGAGGCGAATTCCATGCCCATCATGCAAAATGACAATAGGGCCGGGACTCCAGTGTCTACGTATGTAATGGAAATACTCTCTTTAAATGTTGGCGTCTCACGTCCCATATACCACTTGGCTGTTGTAAAGTAACTCCTAGTAAGCATTTTTAGCTTCAAAAGACCAGACAACGTAAGAAACATCGCAAATCTAAGTGATATATTAAAGATATATATTTTTACCGTCTTCATTTATCTCATTTAAAGTTGTAGGATTTTCAATAGCTTGCATAGCAATCGTCGACATATACTCACATATATGTGGATGTATGATTTTACTCAAAGGAGGAGAATGCACTTACTTGTTCTATTGCATAAGAAACTGCGAAACTTCTGCCTTGTTTGGACATTTCTTGATCAAACTCTTCGTATGTACTCAAGACAAGTTTGTAAATAATCTGCATATAAGGTGGAAGTCTGTCGATATTTTTGATATCCCACCTGAAAAACATCGACAACACAAGAAAGTAGTGGTAAATTTTAAGTATTATTTGTTTACATGGAAATGCCTTAGCTTGCCAGCATTCACTATACCGTTCTTGGAGAACCTCCACGAAGGTTTTTGCTTCTTCAAGTGTCGCATAACTGTCAAACGTATCATCTATGAGTACACATAGGATTATGTTCTTTACCACAAGTGACCGTAGAAGTGAGTATCGAGGTTCAAAATTGAGTGCCACAACCCAAAAATACATTTCCACTGACCAATCTCTTGCATATGGAAATTTCGACTTGAGATCCAAGCCTTTCGACCACCTGTGACCATGAAACATTTTGATTAATTCACCTTATATTTTTCCTTGCATAATATTTATTGAATTCATTACTTACTTCATGAATTCACAGAGCTCTTCTCTATATAGATTCTGTAACAAGTTGAAATCTAATTTAGCTAGCTTTAAGAGCAACTCATCCTTGGATACTTCTTTCGCGTAGAATGAGATGTAATAATGAGCTTCGACTCTAGGAACACCCCATTGAACCGGTTGGAATAGAGCTCGGGCTACTTTCTCTTTAAGAGGGGATTCCAATAGAGGCAAGGCTTGGTTTAGACTACGGGTTGCGAAGACATTGGCATTTTTTAAGATGTCTTCTCCCGGAAACCTTAGATATGTTGCTTCATACAAGCTCAGCAAACCCTTGATGTCATTCGAAAAGGCTTCCTTGAAAGTTCCGTCGCCATTTGTAAATTTATTGAAGACGCCTGTTTTAAGAATCACCGGCCGGTCATGTTAGCCGCTTAAATTCAAGAAGGGGGAAAATTGCAACTTGGTCTTGTAAAAGAAACCAAATAATAATAAGTATATGTCATATATGGTTGAATTTATTGGTGAGCAGAAATAATATGTTTGTGAAAGATCAAAATAGTAATGAGTTACTTATAGGACAAAAACTATATGTTTCTAACAAATTAAATATGTCATGTACTCATATATGGTTGAATTTATGTTTCCTCTATCTTCAAATAGAATCATCAGCCGAGTGTTGCTAAGATGATCAAGTGAAATCTTAAAATATGCAATGAAGATCAGAAACAACATACTGCTAGGAGCATTATAGCCATGTTGTCTGAACAATCGAAAATGCAGAGCAGTCGAAAAAAGGTCGCTGTCTTTATCATCCTCATTTTGCATCTCAGATTCGAAGATCTGTGCGATCTGGTGGTCGATCTCTTTCTCAAAGTGATAGGCCAATCCTAATCGCTCTATTGTGTCGATGAGAATCATCTTATCCTTTGCTTTACTTTCCTTGTTCATCACCATTCTCCTCACCTTCTCCTTCAGTGTTTCAATGACAGCTTTGGTATGTGTTTCGTCTACCTGCAGCGCCATCTTTCACTTAATTATTTAGCACTTGAGACCACAAGTTCAATCAATCATGTATATATATGGATCAAGAAAATTAAAAATCGAAGCCAGTAGGAACATAACCTGATTTGGGGCAGAAAACAAAGCATCATTCCAGAAACTTGCAGGATGATCCTTGGTTTGTCGGATAATCGGTTCTTCGAACACAAGGTTGTCGCCATTGTCGGAAGCAGCCTTGGGAATGGTGGTTCTCGACAGAAAATGCAAACTCCTGTCATCTTGATGCTTTAACATTTTATTAAACTTTACAAGGTTTGATTCATGCTTAGATTTATTTCGATGTAATGTACGGAAGGACAAGGCTTCACCTCTTTTCCCTACGTAGTGAAAAATGGGTTTTGAATAATTAGGGAGAAGAAGGCTCCAAGAACAGGTAAAAGCCATAGCCATAGCCATCAAGTTTTATTAAATTTCTTGATGATAACTTGAAGATGGTCTTGTTTATAATATGTCTATATATAATTATTGGCGATCTTAGATGCATGTGGTAATAAGTCGTGCGGTTCACTTGTTTCCAGACAAAATAATGTTTAGATATGTTTATTTGTATAAAAAAATAGTGCTGAATGTTATCATTGTATAACAAAATAAATAAAAATAATTTAAATAATAAAAAATAAGATACAAAGTCAACGCTCTGTTAGATAATTTATTGTATAAAATATTATTCCCTTCCTTCTATCATTTTCTCATCAATTTATTGTATATACGATAATTTAAGTAAATAATATTATTAAATAATTAAAAAGTATTTTAGTAAAAATAATTATTATATAATATAAATAATTATAGATTAAATTTAACATAACTAGTGAATTTATTTAAAATTAAAAAAATTATTGATTATAAATTTTGAAATACGATTAAAGTAAATAATTATTTTTTTTGAAAAAAAATACAAATAAAGTCGAAATAACAAATAAAGAGGGCAAATGGAATATTAAGTATTAAGTATAATCTTTTTGAGAAAAAAAGTTAAAAAACAATAGGGTTGTTCAACTTGTTTTTTTTATGTAAAAATATAAAATATTATATTCATAATATAAAGAAAATAATATTTTATATTTAATAATTGATTATTTTGAGTTAATAAATATATATATACATTATATATTGTGTTAGTTTGTAATATATTATAAAACTAATATATAAATAAAAGAATCACGCATCCACCGTGTTTGTGCTCTAAATATAAAACTTATATATATTTTTTTTTTTTGGTAAAATTCCCCATAACTCATTGTGGTTTTGAAACTGTAAATCTTCTCTTTATTTTAAAAGTTGCATAACACCTCCTGTACTTTAAAAAATATTGCATCGTGGTTTCGAAACTCAACGTAAATTCTCTCTTTACTTTTAAAAAATTGCATAGCACCCCTTATACTTTCAAAAATATTGTGCGAAACCCCGCTATGGAAAATATATAGATAGAAAATTATCTTCTCATCATACAAAAGATGTTATATGGTGGTGGGATTGCATGCAATGTGTTTGAAAATATAAAAGGTGTCATACAATTTCTAAAGTATAGAGAGATTTTACCTTAAATTTCAAAACTACGAATGAGTTTTTCTTATTCTTTTTTCTTTAATTCTTTTTAAATACCAAAATTTCTATTACTTAGATTAGTTCCAACCTTTCTAGAATCTCTCTAATATATAATATAGGAAAAAAAGTAGTAGTAGCAGTCTCAATGTAATCAAATTATAACCAGAAATTGCATTAATCTAATATTAGATCACAGTATGTTGAGATCCAAATTTATTAATTTTGTTCGGTTAATTTTCTTTTAGCTCCTCAATTATTCGTTTGAAATGATTCATGATATAAAGCAATGTTAATGAGAAAATAAATATTTTTATCATCAAATTAGAGATCAGTTCCAACCAATTTTAAATTCTGAAAAAAAAAAAAAAAAAAAGGAAGAAGAAGAAAGAAAGAAATCTAAATGAAAATAATGATACTCCCTCTGTCTCGTATCCATTTACCTTTTAGATATTGAAGTTTAATATTAATATTATACTCATACAAGAGAAAAAAAAAATATTCCTATTAGTGTTGTATAATACAAATCTAATGACATTTGTATAAGATATTTTACTAATATAAGAATATTTTTAATATTAAGTACAATGACGCAAAGACAAATAGATACCTTATTAAGAGACGAAATAAGTAATAAATTTTCAAAACAAAAATTAAAATAAAATTTTTCCTAAAATACAGTGGACTAAAAAATCTCATCCAAATCTAAATAACAATTGGTACTTAATAATAGGCAGACAAGTTACACCGTGAACAACAATAAGGTACAAATCGAGCAAACCAAACCATAGAAACTCCTAGGGGGAAGGCGTGCATCAAAGGAGAAGGAGAACTTTCCAAGTCGCCGGACAGATTCACCGGAGAACGCAGGCGCAAAGTCGACGGAATCGCCTAGGGCTTTCAAGAGAGAATCGCGAACTGAACTAAATTGGGGAAGAGTAATCTGGTCTGATTGAACCGGTCCAACATATATATATATATATATATATATAGATCAGCAGACCGGTTCACGGTCCAGCAATATATACATCAGACCAGAAGCAGACCGGTTCAGACCGGTCCAGCAAGGCAGCCTAGGAACCGATGAGTCTCTCAAAGGTTCGGGTCGGGTAGCGGGTTGCCGGGTCCGGGCTTCAATTTGGGCGGGTCGGTTGTATGTGTTTTAGGCCTCAATAATCACCGGACAAAATATATAGAACAAATCTCCACTTTATTTTGGGCGTGGAAGATTGTTTTCTCGGGTGTAATCACAGTCCGAACTTTCATTGCTTCCTAATACTTTAGTTCATTTGTTTTTAAAAAAATGTTCATTTTAGCCAATTGTTGAGTTACTCTCCTGCACAAAGAAAATTGAAATCAAGTTAGGTTTAAAACAATATGAAAACCTACTATGATACATAGTAAACCTAAAGCTACACACAAGTAGCACCGGCAAATCAAATATATCAAAGCATACAATTTTCACACAAGATACAAACATATTAACTTTCCCAAATATTGTATCTTCGCCAACAGGATTATACTCAAATTCAAATATTAGGAAAGCTACGAAACATTGTAATTGTGTCTTACAACAAAAACATGTATCACACAATATACAAACAAGAAAAACAACAAGCTTTCTAGAGCCCATATCATTTACAATCAATGATAACAAATCACCATCAAAGCAATCATAAGTTTTAGGAACTGAATTCAAATTTTCATTCTTAAGCAACGAGTTCATATCTTCTTTTAGAGCTTCCAAACATTGACACTTATACCAAGAATTACTTGTCTCCCTAAAAATTATAGGTTCATTCACATATAAGCCATCAAACATGCAACAAGCTAAAGAAGATAACTTCAAATCACCAAACATAGAGAACAATATAGGATCATTCCTAACTCCATCTCTAACAAATAGGTAATTTACAATCTTATTTTTCTCATTTAAATCGGTTCCAATATTGCTTTTAATTTCAGAAACTAAATTTTCAAATTTATTGTTATTAGCCTGCCCAGCAGCAACATCAATTTGAAAATCACCAACAAAGATTTCAGTTTCACTATTTTTATCAAACTTCACTCATTTTGAACACAATTGTCAAAATCAACAAAAACAACATTTTCGTTTAAAGAATCAAAGTGTTGTTCAACAGCAGTTTTCACACTCAAAACAGAATCAGAAGTCATATCAGCATTAACTAAAATGTCATAATGCACACAATCTGATTCACAACAAGTATTATCTATATGTATATCACAAAACTACGCATATTAATAATCAAAAACAACTTTTTGATTTTCAAAAGATTTGTAACGGAAATCAGTGTTATCATTTTCAACCTCATAATCAAATTCAACATCAAGTTGCACATCAGCAGATTGAACACAAATTTCAGATTGAAGATCAATATTAAGGGGTTTATCATCACAAGAACATACATATTCACTTTCAACATGCATTTCAGCAACAAATTGCACAGTCAATGCATATTCAGAATCAGTATCAGCATTACTTAAACCATCAAATGCAGATTCTCTGATTCACAATCAATATTAACTATATTTACATCACAAAACTGCACATTTTCAGAATTAGCAACTAATTTCCCACTAACAGCAGACTTAGAACAACATACAACATCATTTTTGTCCTCAAATTTAGCCTTTTTTTTTTAAACTAGACTGAAATTCAGCAACAAAACAAACACAATAATAAATTTCAGAATCCATATAAGCAATTTCATAATCATCAAATTGCACACTTTCAGATTCACTAGTAATCTACTGCTCGACAAAACAAAAATCAGAATGAAAATGTTCATTTTCTCCCTTTTCTATCTCATTCATATCATGTTCCACCTTAGTTCGAGTATTATAACAATCGGTGTCAATTTCACTAAATTCAGAAACTACCAGGTCAGATTTTTCAAATTTCAAACATGGCATACAATCTTCATTAAATGTCACATTATTACTAAAGACAGTTTTAAATCCGGGTCTAGAACAAAGCCACAATCTATACCCCGTAACATCATAACCTAAGAAAACACAATTTTTAGTTTTCAAATCAAAACCATCAGTGCAAACATGTATTAAAGCAGAACACCCAAATACACGAACATTAGAAACGTCGACTCTTCTACCCAGCCATTTACTTTCGGGATATAAACCTTTAAGGGGGATAGAGAGTGATCTATTTATCAAATAAGATGTTGTAACTACAGCTTCACCCCAAAACAGTTTGGGTAAGCCGGATAAAGTCAAAATACTTCTAACCCTTTCCAAAAGGGTCCGGCTCATCCACTTGGCCACCCCACTAAGTTGGGGTGCTATGAGGTCAATTGTAATCATTTTAATACTATTTTGCACACAAAAATTATCAAACCAGGTGTTACAAAATTTAAACCATTTTCAATTTGAAGACATTTAATTTTTCTGCCCATTTCAGTTTCAACTTGAATTTTCCAATTTTTAATAATCCAAAAACTTCAGATTTATTTTTCATTAAGAAAACCAAGTTCTTCTTGAAAAATCATCAACAATGGTTAAAAAATATCTAGAACCACCAAAAGTAGACTCACAAGAGGGCTCCCACAAATCAGAATGTATATATTCCAAGATATATTTAGAGCATTCACGTTTTCCAACATGGGGTAAGAGAAAATGGACTTTAGTTTGTTTATTATCAACACAATTTTCACAAAATTGCACAGCTCAAAACATATCATTGCCAAAATATCCAGATTTTTGCAATATTTCTAAACCATATTGCTTAAATGACGTAACTGTTTATGCCACAAAAATATTTTATTTTCAGAAATAGAATTAATGGAACAAGCAGGCATAATCATAGGATCAGCTTAGGTCACATAGAAATTATTTTTTCTT